CCCCAAAACCCCAAAACCCCAAAACCCCAAAACCCCTAGAGTCAGTTAAGAATTAATAAGAGGGAAATTCAAACTATAATACTTTGAAATAAAAGCAAAAATGTCAAAAGTAAATTTTTCGTTTTAAAATCATCATCATTTTCTATAGTTAAGTGAATCTATACAGAAGATCACCTCTTAAAAAAATCAAGGGTTTATAAGCAAGGATAAGTTATCACTTAATTTTAATCAAATCCATACACTCGATACTCAGCATTAAGTAGTCTAGAAATACAAGAAAGTATCTAAATTATTCTTGTCACATAATCCACTCTTTACACTGAATGGCCTTCAAGCATTTACCAATCTGACTCATCTTTCGCTTTCTTATTGCAGAGTATAAGATATTGAAGAACTAACCAGGATTCATGATCCTACAGCATTAGAATGTCTAGCAGTAAAAGGAAATTTCATTGATAGACATCCTGATTATAAAGCACTACTTATATAATTCTTCAAAAATTTGAAAGAACTAGACGGTATGATGACAGATAATAGAGTAAGAGAATAAATTAAGGATGGAGTCCACATTAAGAAAAATTTAATGAGTTTTCTATACAAATTTGACTAGAAGCTAATGAAACTTCAGCAAGAATTAGCAGAAATTCATGTAAGAAATGATAATTTGAAAAATATTTACCATAGATTAGAGATGAGAACATCAATTAAGTATAGTTACAGTTCTAAGAGATATAAGAAAATTGGAATTAAATATTTTAAGTCAAAGATCTTAGGGTAATTTATATTCTGAATTAATTGTGATGTTTTAGAAATTGCAGAAAATAGTGCCAAAGCAATTAGTAACTCTGATTTAATAGCTAAATAGTCAGTTATTAATGAACGAATAGTAGCCTGAGAATAGATAAGATCTATACTTTATGTTTAAATGGCTATTTCAAGAAATATTGATCAATCTAAACTTGCTTAGGAATAATGAGCTCGTTAAATTTTTGAATTTCCAAATTCTTAAGAAAAATCCAGCCTTACTTCAATACATAAAAAATAAAATTAGAATTTAGCAATAAAACCCCCAAAATCTTCTTAACCAATAGTAGCCTTAGTCTTAACTAGATTAAGATAATGATTATCTTAAAGCCATTGAAAAAGCAATTTAAGTTTTACAAGATGATCCTCTTGTAAATTATGAAGTACTCTTACATGAATAGTTAAAAGAGTTTTATCTATTACAGCCTGAGCAAGCGAGTCTCTCTGATAATTACTTCTTTTTAGAGAAAAAGCAAAACACCTAATAGTTTGATTAACTTGACTCAGATAAAAAGCTCATTCAAAATAAAAATGAGATCACAAGAAATGATAATCGTGGAAATTTTACTTCAAATCAAAAGCATGAAATAAGTTTTGGAGGAGAGATAAATAGATTAGGGGAAAAATAAATGCAGCAGCATCAAGAATCTTAAGAAAGGAAATATGTGAGTATTAGGGATAGAGTTCAAACTCAGAATCCGTTTAGAATAAGATCTGAGTCTTAGGATGGAGAAATCCTTCCAGATAAGACTGAGAAATAAACCTCTCAGGATAGATAGCTTAAAATGACCATTCCTAAAAGTATTCTAAAATCATCATAGGAGCTAAAGGAGAATATGAATGTGCCTAAGCATGTTAATTTTGACTCAAATGATTCAGAGGCTGATACATTCAGAGATCCAAACTTATAGAGTTAATAGTTTACAGATAGATCTAATCTCTCTGATATAACTCAATTTAATGCTTAAACTTAGAAAATCTTAAAGAAATTTTTAAAAGGTGATTGGGAAATAGATCATACTGGTGAGGATTACTTAGTAGATAAGATTTTGCTAGAATTCCCAGTTTTTTCATTGAATGAAGATTATATCAGAGCTTTAATTAACATAGTATTTTCCAAGATAGACTAAGCTTAAAATATGATTAATCAAAAGAATGATCAGATTTAAAACTACATAAAGGGAAAATAGATTTATGAAAGTAGAAGGCTAAAGGATGAAACGAAAAGGTAAAGAGATGATAGCTTGAAGATACTAAAAGGTAAAACGAATGATAGAAGTTTAGAAAGAGATACCTCATAAACTAAAAAATCAGTTGCATTTAAATAGACAGATAAAGAGAAAATAGATAATTGGATATAAAAATAACACAAGAAATAGTAATTATAGCAACAGACATTGATACTATCTTCAGTATTGTAACAAGTCATAGATTAGAATCTTTAGGGTGTATTCAATCAGTTATTGCTACACTAATCTAATTTAGTTTAGAAGTAACAAGAGATAGAATAAAGCGTTGCTCATAAAATAAGAGGAAAAATATTCTATAGGTGGTTTGATGCGTACTACAATAATATCGAGAGTACTTATCAGATTTATTATAAAACTTTGAAAAGGAAAATTTTTAGGTACTTAATCCTTAATAAGCGTTAATACTTGCTTAAACATTCTAAAGCATTGAAACTTTAACAGGAAAATTTAAAGTTTAAGGGATTCCTTGGTTTTCTTCAAAATCTTAACCTAAGGAGAAAGGAGAAGGAAAAAAGAAGGCAGGAAATATAGAAAGAGCTTGAGGCAAATTAAATTCAAAAGCCAAATCTAAATTTGAATTTGAATGCAGTATTTGAGAATGTAAAGCCACAAAAATTGGTAGAAATATTGCCTATAATTGATAGAGATATAGCAAATGCTTATCAAAAGGAATTAAGCCCAAAGAATATGCAAGTTGGTAGTTACCCTAGTACAGTTTAAAGGGATGAAAATAGTAGTCCAAATCACGAATAAATAATTGGGTAAAACGATAAAAACATATAGATAAATTAATTCAATCACAACTAGAGTCAAAGTACTCTCCCTATATGGTATCAAACAGGCCAGTCTAATAATACTTTACTTAGAGGAACAAATCATAGCATGTCATTCTAATAGCCCAATAATCAAAGCAACAACTATTCTCCTGTGAGAGTAAGATAATACGATGACTCTAATACTTAAGCTTCATTTAATTGGAGGTTGACAAATAACACCTAGACTAGAACAATAAATCCATTTACTTAGATTCTGAGTGATGAGCCTGACAAAGAAAATGATAATACAAATCTTAATCAGGATTTACGCAACTACTATCCTGAGAACTAGGAGCTTTAAAAATAGTAATAGTAACCACCTAGACAGCCAAATGAGCTGAATAACGTATTTTCATTCTAAAATACGCTGAATATATAGAATTAAAAGGACTATAATACAATCAATCAAATTAAATTTTAAGATTAAAGACTGAAATAACCTAGAGCAATAAGTCCTTACTTTGATAGACAAGTTCAATTTTTCCTTGGTAAAGGTTAACCTATTTAGTCTCATAAGACTTAGAACTTTCTAAATCATTCCAGCAATAGGAGTCTGATCCCCCAATAGAGTACTCTTAAATCAAATCAAAGCTTCCATTCAAAGAATACATCAAACCAAAAGTAGAAACAGACTCCAAAGCTGAATTAATTAAACTCTTATAATAAATACAATCAAGTTAGGTCCCCATAAAACAGATAAAACTCTAGTTCTATCTAAAAAGGAGGTCATTCAATAACTAGTCCTGCTAGCTCCAATCAAAGTCAGATATAGAGTTTTAAATCAGCAGTGGTTCGAATGACTTACAAGAATAATGAAAAGAGTGTTACAAGAAGTGACAGTGAATAAAGAAATCCTTCCTATGCAAAGAATACAGTTTCATTCATTAGCAAGCATATTGATCAATGAAATCATAAATTTAAGAAAAAGTTTTATGGAATACGAAAATGATTTATAATATAAAATTAAATTAATTTTTGGAATATTTATAATAAACATTAATCTACGGGGTTTTGGGGTTTTGGGGTTT